GCTGCGGTCCCCCGGACCCAGGCGGCCAAGAGCAAACCAGCTGCATCGACCAGCGTGAACAGCGCTGACACCTGGGCGGAAGCAGTTCCCGCTCCACGTCGTTTCACGACGGACGACCGCGGAGGTCTTCGTGGCGATGGCAACGGCGAGCGCGCGCTTCGGAGGTCTTCGCCGTGGCGATGGTCGTTCATCGTTCGGAGAGTCCCGTGCAGTGCCAGGAACTCGCACCGGCTTAGCCGAGGAGGGCTTTGAGCCGAGAGCAGGTTCTTGGATCGAGGGTGAGCACTGGGTACCCGCACTGGATCTCCGATGCTCTCCAGCATCCGAGGGTGTCTGTCTGTCACTTGAGTGATGTGGCTTAAAGAAACAGCACAAAAGATAGCAAAAGGGAAGTGGAACATGTACTACCAAGGATCGACATAATAATATAGCTCAAATATGTTCAAATGTATTCTTCTGTTTTCTTCTGAACAATGGTTGCTGCCTATCATGTTGCACTATGTTGCACTCTGTAGCAAGCCGGGACAGGGAGCTACCCTCAAACTGCTGCGCCATTCCCCCAATGTCATGTCTCTCTAGGCTCTCACTTAGGATCCTGGGGCTTGGGCCGAGCTGCGCAGAATGCGGGACTGGAAGAACGCATGGTGATCATGTGTCGAAATCAAGTTCCGGAAACCGCATTTCTGTTCCGGACTGCCACCTGCGGAGCCACTTGCTTCATCCTATCCTCCCATCATCCAGAATTTCAGGACAGGGAGGGTGATGAAACGATTATGTACAGAAGCAAGGACGTTTTAGAACCTTGCAAGATGTTGAGACATCAAGGATCATCAAAGGCATCTGGCTCCTTTTGATCTACAACGTAGAGTCGTGACCGGTACGTGAACCGAAACCAAACGTTATTAACTGGATCTTCGGACTATGCCAAATGTCTGCCGTTTTATCCATAAATTTCAGCCAAGTTCGGCAGAACTTTGGCAGTCCGAAGATCCAGGTAGTATAGATGGTTGATGCCTCAATCAGTCAGCTGTGGAGCCAGCTCCGTGTGTGCATCTTCCTGGGGTCGTGGAAAAGATGAGAGAATAGAAACGAAGAGAAACTCTGAGAGCCCCTACCAAACGCACTCACCACACAAAGAAACCAAGCTTCAGAATGAAACACGCCTGGCTAGGCTAGGCCTTCTTCATCCCTTCTTTACTTCAAAAGCCACAAGAAGCGTGGCTTTTGTTCGACGAGAACATGTGAGAACTCAGTTTGCCACAGCTACTTGGCCAAGATCCGTAAAGTCCTCAAGGGCTCAACGGCGCCATTTGTGCAGCGGAGATCAGTAGAATCAGAATCTGAGCTCCAAACCACCTGTTCCGCCAGGTCTTCCTTCTGCTTCCGAGCCATTTGTGCCTGGCTCGGCGAGCGCTTATTGATGCTTATTATTAGGTCATATTTTGAGCCGCTCAACAGCCGGTTCGCACAAAGGGAAGTCAAAATGAAGGGACTGAAAGCATCCATCCTAGACTTGTTGCTTGCACACAAGACATCACAAAATCACCATGTCACCAGCAGTGTCAGCATGTTGGAACCATCATTCATGCTCTACACCTCAGAATCGCTGAGCCTTGTCCAGTTCTTCTAGTAGCGCCACAGGTTGGCTGCTTAAATGCCTCTTCACCTGAAACCACCAACAGGTCGGGAAAAGGACTACGTCTAAGCCGCTAGCCCAACTCAGCTGGCTTTTAACGTGCGTGCATGTAGCCGCATGCTATCAATGTATCATGACAATGCACACAAAGAAGACACCGTCGTGCGCTCATGAAACCTTCGATGCTTTGAGAACTGTGGGCTTGGCTTCTTTTTCGTCCGGCTCTGCCGGCTCTGCCCCTCCTTTCGTCCGGACACTCCGCCTGAAACCTTCCGGCGGGTCACCCGCCCCGGTGAGGGGGAGGGGCACCTCGTTGAAGGTCAACTCGCTGTCCCTGTGCCGCTGAGCTGTCCCGCTAGGCTTCTGAAGGATCGCTAGATCGCTTGGTGGTGAAGGGGAGGAGGAAAACCATGGAACAATCGGAAAGGCCCTTCAGAACGGATGAGCACGGATGTACTTAGGCTTCGAGACCTTAAGTAATATCAAGATAGATTCAATGGATCTAATAAAACTACAGGTTATAAAAAAGAACTCTTGCTATATAGGGTTTTGTGGGAACCCTGGCTGGCCTGATGGTTCTCTTCTGCGTTCGCCACCGAAAATAGAAGTGGTAGAGACCTGAAGAGCTGGACCGTGCACGCGGATAATGTCGATCCCGTGTGGTTGGAGAACTGCTGACTGCGACCTGCCCTCGCCTGCGGAAAAGGCACGAGCTGTGGCGTGAACCGCCTGGCAACACCCAATCGACGCAACAAGACTGAGTAGCTACTAAGCATCTACTAAGCTTAAGTAACGGCCGGTTCAACCTAGAAGTGCTTGCACAAGCATGACAATTTGGAGTGCATGACAGCCCTAGTCAAATAATGTCAAATAGAGACGTTGAATGACTTTGACCAGTGAAAGGATTCAATGATGACTTGCAAACATCAACTGCCGCCGCCGCTTGGCAAAAGCTGCAGGGGCATATACGCTATGATGGGGTCCCACATGAACGCATCTTTTGCATGATCATCTGCAAGCATCCATCATCTACTAATCTACTGGAGGATCCACATCCAGGATTCCAGGATCCCTTCCTCATGTATTTTCTGCTGAAAGCATGGCAGGCAAACCCCGAAACGATCTTCCAGGCTCTCCAAATGGCCAGCAGCCCACTGGTCCATCACAATCTTGGTGATGTTGATGCCGACGGCTGCAAGCGGAAAGTTCTGCTCGTCATCCTCCAGCGTGTCAGATACCATGAGATCAATCCACATAGAGCAACCATTCACATCCTTTCATTCATTACCATCGCTAGTAGGCTGGAGGCCATCGCTATCATTTATAGTGGGATACTTTCTGAGAGCCTGGTGATCGAGGCAAACACCTCTGAACCCGCCACTCAAGTTTTGAACAACAATCGAACATGAACCGATTCGGCGTGATTTCGGCACTGGTCTACCCAAAGGACTACCCAAAGGTTGTTGGTCTGGGAAGGGTTTCCAACTCAAATTTGCTTTCCTGCGTAGCGCAGACCGAAGCCATGCGAAGTCGGCTCGGAGGCCACTCCTGAGACAAGTGATAGGCAGACTTCAGGAGATCGAAGTAGTGAGCAAAAAAGAAGAACATCTGCAGCACCTGTCTGTCGGACAGTGGCGTCATGCGACAGCAGCGACAGCAAAGCCCGTCCATGCGACACCAGAAAGAAAATCCGTCGCACACATTCAATTGGTTTGTACTTGCCCTCAATTACAAAACAAACAGAAGGATTACATGGGATTACAATATAGGATGACCAAGCAAGCAGTTTTGAGATTCTTCCACATTCGTCCATCTTACTGCCAGCGGCGCGGAGTGATCATGAAAACACACGACAACACTCATTCCTCCTCCGCGTCTACATGCTGTACTCTAAGAAACATCACGAAGGTCTTTTCATAGGTCTCCAGCTCACTGCTCCCGCTCCCCGAAGGGCTTCGTTTCGCGCCGATCGGGTGACCCGCACGTTGAGCAGTCCGGCAGAACGATTCAGGTCCGTCAAGGGGTCGTTGCCTTGGAAGCCCAAGACCTGAGCGGACCAGACGAGTCCGGGGTCCCGACCCGGGTTGGAAGGACGAGAAGGAGACGTTCAGTCGGAAGGGCACCCAAAGCCCACCGACAACAGAAAGCCCAACCAATTTGCTACAGTCATATTTTGCTGCTGTTAAATGTGGCTTTCAGAGAGGTCCTTGTTCATCCGTGTTTTCTCGTGTTTTCTGTCTTTTGGCCCGGCCTCCCAGTGGCTGCCAGTCCGTGGACAAACCTTGCACCTCGCCAGCTTGCAGTAAATGGTCCGCAGCATGCGGTGATGCATGGTGTCATTGAAATCGAACCTGGGTCGGCGCGAGTGAATGTTGGACCTGGTCGGATGGATACCATTCACCATCATCCACCTCATTCTACCTAGATTCCAGGGATGGGAAAGGCCCAGGACCTCCATTTGCTAGGTCATTTGTGAGCTGTAGGACGCTGTAGGCCATACAGTGTCGAGCCATACCAACATGGATGAAAAGGAAAGAAGCAAAACCAACAGAAACATATTCCTCAGATAATTCATTCATGTGATCTCATGTCCAAACTTAATGAATTTGGAAATAACTGATTCACATTCAAAAACCATCTATAGTCACCTAGTCCACCCATGTCAACCAAAAACCTCTCAAGGCCTGGTGCACCCGGTGCGCTCCGAGACCCCAGCTTGGTGCCTTTCACGCGCAGGAGGAGGTCCTGCAGTGTGGCGAGTCTCAGCTCCCCTGAAATCCGGTTGAAGGACCTAGTAGGCCTCCAAGCTAGTAGCGATGGCCTTCAACCTATAGATGTTTAGGTCACTTATTAAGGTCCTATAAGGTCACTTGACCTGGAAAGTTTTGAGCCCCTCTGTTGATCCAAACCGAGGATGTGAAACATGCATCATCTATGTGTACAGGTGTGTGAGGACCATCGGACTGATCCGACTCTGCTTTGGGCGTCGCTTCGAAGCTTCGCGGTTCCGCGTCGTCCTTGCCCATCCTCTCCTCGCCAGAACCTGCACCGACCGCGGCACCGCGGCACCACACTCCGCAAAGAGTGGGACATCACACCTCACTGCTGTGAACATCAGAATCCCCTTCAAGCGCGTCGACGGACGAAGGACTTTTAAACAACACGTTCACCGATGTGCCAGCGGGGGGTCCGTTCCGGAGCCGATGTGCCCGAAGGTGCCCGTCGATGCGACGATGAACAAGGGGCAATACCAAACATGATACATAGAACATCTTCAATGCGAGTACCTATAAGGGTGAGTACCAAATGCTGGGGAACATGTTCTAACATCGCAAGTTGCAGATGCTGGCCTTGATCTTCACCAGTCTTGCCGGTGCCAAATTCCTGGTAGAGTTGGATGCATCTACATCTACTCGACCGCTAAAAACAACATCGCATCAGGTTGGCCTGCCAAAGCCAGCCATGGACCTCAAAGCATGTGGGGCATGTCTCAGGTTGAAAGAGCAAAAGGGACAGGCTGATTGTGTCCAACCTCCAGGTTTGATTTGGTTTGATGGTATCCATGTTTGAGCCACAGCCTCCTTGTAGGACACTGGCTGGCCGAGCACCTCATCGGTTTGATCAAAGCGCGTCGCAGCAAGCGTCAAAGACGTTGGAGATTCCGGCATCTTGTTTTGGCGCGACCTTGCCCTTTGCTTCCCTTGCCTGCAGCAAAGCAAAGTCAAGATCTGCTTTGGTTTTGACCGCAAACGTTGCCAAAGGATGCCAAAGGTATGTCAAAAACATCAGCAAAAACTGGCCTGCTTAGCAAGTTCTTCTGTCCTCCTTCCGATTTCTTCCCATTCATCCTCCATCTCAACTTCTGCACCTCAAACGTGCAAGGTGTGACGACTCAGTGTAAGGTGTGACGCATTTTGCATGAGGCTGACCAGCCGTAACATGTCTATCCCAAAATACAGGTCCTCAATTCACCAGTTGGAAGATGTTGGTTCAGAACGTGGAAAAGAAAGAAACCAGGAGTCACAAAGGGGTGGTGTTTAGTCCCTAAGTGAGTGGATCATGGGCACCCCTATCCTCCAATTGGCACCCCTTTGTGACTCCTGGTATATATTATATATACCCTCTCAAAGAAAGCGAGAGGAGCAACACACCACACTTTTTTTCAGCTCCTGGCCCCAAATCAGTTTAGCTGGCGACGGCTCGGCGACGTGGTGCTCAATGCAGCCAATGCTCTGTCAGTGGCTGTACCAGCAGCACTGCCAGCAGCACTGCCAGCGGCCTAAGCATGAAAATCATGGGATCTGAGAGGTGGCAGTGGGTCGAAGCTGCTGTTTGACCCCTGAAATGAACATACATGAACTATCCAAATCCCATCAAATCAGCGAATCTCAACATATATGTCAACCTTCCATCACCTTCCAATCCCAGACACTCCATGGGACTGCCATATATATGCCTGCACTGACCCCCCAAAACCACCCCATCTGATCGGCATATACGGCAGTCCCATTAGTCGTGTCTGGGAGTCGTTTGGTGGAGCTTTGGTCTTTTCCGACGGCCGCCGGGCCGGACCTCTCCGCGAGACCTCTCCGTCCTCGACGGACGGACCGTGTGTTCCCGGTCGGGAGACGGACCGTGGTTCAGCCCGTCCATCGGTCGAGCATGTCCCAAGACGCTCGAGAATACGCTCGGACATGCGGCAGGGCGACGCGAACGGTATAGCAGGCTGCAGAGAATACCCACAGAACCACAGAGGGGCTACCGCTCGGAGCGATAGGGGAAAGAGTCTTTTGAAAGGGGGGAGAGATGTGAAGCGATGTGAAGCGATGTGAAGCACTGAACAAGAATCTTTCTGAATCTTTCTGGGAACTCCATCACTCAAGCTGCAGATTCCGGCAGTTGAATGTTTGGCCGATGAGGTTACTTTGTGGGGGCTTCTGACTCGTCTTCTTCTTCTCCCTTCTTCTAGCGTAGCAATGCAGGCAAATATGCAGGGCCCGCCTCCCCTTTAAAATGCCGTCTGCTGATGCTGGACACACACAGCTGAGTCTGGGACATGCAGTCCCTTCAAAGACTTCAATGTGGACTTCGGCACACCCTCCGAATCCTGGAATGGACTCCATGATTGATGGGGAAAGTCCGCACTCCAGCTCCGGATGAGAGTCCCGACTTCATATACTCTATAATCCGAAGGTTGAGACTTAACATGAATTGAGATGAGACTCAACTTGAAAACAAACAGCTCATGTCTTTTAGCTCGCTCCGTCGCTCCTCAGAGGTAGGTTTCCGTGCTTTCAGAGCCTCCAGGTGCAGGGAGTTTGGAAGATCTTCGAAAGACTTGAACATATTTGTTTGCTAGAATTCATCGAATCAGTTGCTTCGTTTAAAATAGTATTTGATGTTTTTGTTGGTTTTTGTTTTTGGGGCATTGAGCATTCAAGCATTTCCTGTCCACTGAGTCATCGCGTGAAGCAAAGCCCAAGTCATGGTGCCTCTTCCACGAGATCATCTCGTGCCACCATTCTGTGTGCCCGCGTGGGAGAAGCTGGTGCCTCAGCTTCTACAAGATCCAACTGGAAAGTTCTCAGGGGGAGAAACTGAGAAACCTCTGAAACGGCCATAGCTCACACCTGATTCATCAATCATGGAGGTATATGGTCCATATGGTTGTGTTATTTGATTTGTTCATTTCAATCCAGGATTGGCGCCTGTGGTTTTCATTCGCTCTCCCTTTGCTTGCGCCCTTTGCTCCGGAACCTCCCCAGGTCCCCCAGGTCCTCTCGGTCCCCGTCTCGGTGCCCCACCGCCACGCCCTTCAGGGCCGTGAGACGGCCCGTTCGCGGTTCCGAAGACGGCTTCCGCTCGGAGACCTCGAAGACTGATAGGCGAGGTGTGTTTTTGGGGCGGAAACCGGGTTTCGGTTCCACACCAGGCGTTGCGTCTTTGGGTTTGTTGTTTTTGGGGGGGGTTGTTCCCTGCTTTTTGGTGAACGGCACAGACCAAGACCTGTAAGTTGGTCTAGTTGACCAACCTCTAATCAAGAAGGATCCAAAAGGGATCGAATATCCTATCCAAGCGTAGCTTCTATTCAGTAGGGAGCGCCTACTGAGAGGCTTCGAAGTTGGGCCCTGGTCTCGTGGTCAAAAACAAGCCTTGGTTGAACGCTTCAGGCGGCAAATGACTTTCTGTGGGTGCCCTAGCCAGGAGTGCATAAGACTAATAGCATAAGACTGACTGTCAGAAAGACTGTCTTTGACCATATTCAATGAAAGGAAAAGTACCAAAATCATCCAGCATCCATCTCTTTGACCAAAGTGGTCTGGCCATCGAAGGTTTTGCAGTATCGAGAAAGCCCTTGAAGCCAAGAACTATCAGCTACCAAGACCTCAGTCCCCTGCCTTCACTCTTCACGTGAGGCCAAATCTTTGCGTCATCTGCGAACCGCTGCGACTTCGTCGAACGGGTCCCAGAAAACAAAGTCCAACGAAGACTTAAACCCCTAAGCTCATGCTCACCCGCGCCGTTCGCATGCTGCGGGACGCACCGTCCAGTTCCAAGAGCTGCTGATGGCGTTCACCCGGCTTCATGACGTCCTAAGAATACCCAGAACCGTTCTGAAATGTTCTGAAGAAAAAAAAAAGAAAACATAGAAAAACACACCTGCCTTTTTACTGGACACCTTGCATCACACCAAGCCCGCGAACTGCTGTTATCATTTTGAGTGTGGTCCAAAACATGCGAGTCGTCCTCTCCCCCCGTGTTTCCAAGCATCACATGCATGCGGTAGACATGCATATTTCATCATATTTCGATTCAAGCCAGGCATCTTTCAAACCTCTACCCAGTTGCTCGTGTCCTGGTAGCCGCCCCGTACATTGTTGCAGCCAATCGGGATCTCGGAAAACAGAGACGTGGAGTTTCAACGCAGCCCTTGCTTCCACTGGGACTTCCACTGCCTCACGCGCCGCGTTCTTCCACTTGGCAAATCTCTTTGATTCGCTTCATCGACCGTGAACGATTTAAATCCGCCACATCAGCCGCATAGGTTCCGGAAGTTTGGGGGGCCCTCCTCCTCTCCTTTGGTCATGAAGTTCTTCGAGTTGGCCAGCGTGCGGTGCAAGTTCGTATTGACCGTGTCATGATACCGGGCACCGGGCAGGAAGTGCCAGAACGATCGAGTAGCTCGTGTGGGCACTTCTTCGGTACGTGCGGATGGAGTAGGACGTACCGGTATGGATTTGCTCACAGGCGCTGATGAGGGCGACACAGGTGCCGGTTTGGTCGTCGCTCGAGACGTGGAAGCCGGCGACATCTCATGTGGAGCTGCCACAGCCGCCGAGTCCGTTGCATCATCATCATCGGCCAGATCCGAGAGTCCGTCGGCCGTAGAGTCTAAGCCAAAGAGGCGAGCAATCTTCAACAAGTTCCAGGTCAAATGCCGTTCCTCCTTGTCTGCAATGTGCTGGAGCTCTCGTTCTCCACTCGGGTTCCCAGTTTTCTCCCTGACCTCCTGCAACACGTGATCTTTTGAAACAAAGGACCTTTTATGTACCATATATGCATGCAGACTGTCTAGAGATAAAAAACTGCATTTATATAATCAAAGAACTCAAACATGCTCAACATTCTTCAATATATATTTCAATACATGTCTTCCACTTCTCACATCCTCTCTCCTTCAACGCCTTCTTGAGCGCATTGCGGTCTGTGTTCCGACCAAAAGCCCTGCGTTGCGGTCGTTCGTGTGAGGTCTCGCGGCTGTCGACGGCGCCCCCTGGGCTGTCCACCTCGTCTTCCTCTTCCAACACTTCCGCCGATCCAGTCACCTGGCCGCCGGCCTCTGCCTCCTCCGGGAACGAAAACGCCGTGAACGAACTCCGGGTGGGCCGTGAAGTCACAGCCACTTGTCGTGGGATCTCTGTAGTCACAAATGACCACGACTACAACAATCCGCCGGCCTGCCGGCGTGTTTTGTGGATTGTTTTGGTTAGTATTGCTTGTGTTGGCTTCAATCTACGGTTTGTCTCTCCGCGCGGATTTTTCGACAGCCTGACGCCCCCCCCCACTGTAGGTAGTGGTGGTGGTAGTAGTAGTAGTAGCAGCAGTAGTAGTAGGTAGTAGGTAGTAGGTAGTAGGTGGTACGTAGTAGGTAGTAGGTAGTAGGTCGCTGGATCAGAATAGACAACCATTGGACTGAGACATGTCGATCGCTGGATCAGAATAGACAACCTCTGATTCGGATTCGTTCCATTTCATTGTAAAAAGACTTCGCTTGAAATCAACAGCAACAAACTCTCCCAGCAAAATGTGCAACTCCAATGCACCCACAAGTCTGATTGAGCAGGGTATTGTTGTTCGATGTCATTCTGGGTCTTTCATTTCAAACGGTTTGGAGAAAAAACGACAAATCATGCCAGATCTAGAAATTCTTCGGTCGCTTTGAAGCCTTCTGTGTGAAAAAGAATATCTGGTGCGTGTCGCAATCCCTCGAGACGGTCGAAAAAAGATCTGAAAAGGAAAACATGCACACGGCCAAGTAGTTTGGAAGAAGAATCGTTTTCAAGGTCATGTTTTGTGGATAGTCTTGGTTCGCATTGCTTGTGTTGGTTTCACTTGGTTCCTCTTAGGTGATTCGACTGAGACATGCCGGTTCGGATCGCTGGATCAGAATAGACAACCTCTGATTCGGATTCGTTCCATTTCATGGTCAAACAACCTTGAAATAGACATCAACAAACTCACCCAGCCAAATGTGCACCTCCAATGCACCAACAAGTATGATTGAGCAGGGTATTGTCTCATTAAGCTGCCTGCCAATGCGGGCTCGAGCTGGTGGCCGGCGGCATGCCGAAGGCTGTAAATACCGCAGCAAAGGTCAATCATTGAAAAACAAAAACATGACATGGCAAAAAGAAAGCTCTACATCACTAGCTACATCCTATACTAAAATACAGGATGATGTGACCGTGCCAAACCATGGTGTCAGATTCTGAATCCGCCCCTCGGTTGTGGCTCGTTCGCTCTGAACTGTCCTCGGTGTCTTGAAGCCCGTGGCTCGCTGTCTCTACGCTCGTGGTCGGTTTCCGTCTGATCCGGCTCTCCTCCAACAAGCACCGGACATAGAAAGATAGACGTCATAAGCCGATGCGAGCTAGCGCGACTACTTCGGGGATGTTCTGTCCAAGCCACAACTCGTGGACAGAGCAGTGGAGGTCATCCAATGGATCAAACAAACAAACTTAAAGGATCCTATAATATTAATGCATGCATTATCAGATGCATCAACGAGTAGTATAGCACGTCTGTCAATCCCTTTAATCATCCCTATTAGTCGTTTTTGGTTCAGCCTCATGCTCCTTCCGACACGGCTCCGGCGCTCCTGCAACGCCTTCAGTCTTTCTGCCCGGCGGTTCGTCTTGACGACGGGCTCCGGCTCCTCCTCCGATGCGTCGGTCGCGCCGTCGCCCGACACTGCCGCATCCCCTTCCGCGGAAGAAACGGCCGCCTCCGCCTCGGGGCAACTGGAAGGTTTCAGCGGTGACCAGAGCTTTCTGATCTTTCCTTAATTTTCTATCGCAGTCTTGCAATATTGCAGTTTCTTCATCTGTCTCTCTCCGTGTCCACATGGATTCTTAGGTTCCGCACCTCATCATCTTGCTTCACAGCTCCCGGCTTCGGCTTCCTTCGGGCCCTCGCCTTGGCCTTCGCCCGGCGTTTCTTGCGACGCGGCGCGGCCACGTCACCCGCCCCGTCGGCCGCCGGGGCGGCCGCTTCGGCGGCCGTGGCGGCCGGTTCCACGTCCGCTTCCGCTTCCTCTGAGCTGGAACTGGCACTGGAGGAACTGGAGCTGCTCATCACTGGAACGGGCACTCCAGGTGTCTGCGCCATGGAGAAGAAATTTGAGAGTCAGTGTGGGCCTTTTAAAAGAAAAACTGGATCATGGCTAATCCGGGTGGTGGGGTCCAGAACCTTAGTGCCATCTTGTACGTCATTATACCTTGCAAATTTATGCCAATGTTCTGTATTCAGGCTTGATTGTTGGGTTTGTGCATGGTCAGCTTGAGCCCAAAGACAGGTAGGGTCCAGCCTGCACTTCTCCACGTTGTCAAGCTTCCAAAACCACTTATAACCAGCGTTCGTATACGCACGTCCGCAACCGCACGTCTCGCCACGCCGTCGCACGTCGCCACCGCACGGATCCTGCTTCGACCCCTTCCCGGTTCCGCCTCAACGAGGCCTTCCACCTCGAGCTCCACCTCGATCTCGACCTCCGTCCTGGGTCGAAAGCGGCCAGGTCCGTCGACCGATCCTTCCCCGTGCGGTCGAAGAAGCCCCGGCGCCGGCGGATCTCGCCCGTGCCCGGCGTGGATCAGATCCGTTCAACTCGATGACCCTGGGCCGACCACCCATGATTCCGATCTGGGAATGGGATCTGGGATGATCTGGGTGAACTCTATTCGATCCAGTCTATATATTATCGTTTCTCTTCCGTTTCACCACCCAAAAAACCGTCCGAACCAGCCCTGTCTGTCAAACGAAGGCCACATACGCACACCAACTGACCTGCCCGCCCGACGGGTGTTCACCCCCTGGCCTGGGCGAACGCGGTGGGATGGAAAAGTGCTGAACTTCGACCTCTTCTTCAGAGGTCTCACCCTCAGAGCTCTCCACCTGAGACGTTTTCCCCCAGCATGGCGTGATTGAGTTGCGGATAGTTGCGGGATCTTGCGAGACCGGTCATTTTGTGCCATGAAAAGACGTGAGAAGGCGCAATGAAACCCATGGAAAAAAAACAACTCAATATAGAAAACTGTCCAGATGTTAGCTGGGTCATGTACCTTACAGTTGGTCGATCTAGCAAATGATGTCATATAGATTCCTGCACCATGCACAACCAACAACTCATACCGCATAATGCCGCATTGCTGTGCAGCGTCGTCGAAAGGTCTGTCGACCCAGCATGCTCCTGCTTCCCTCAACCGAAGCCTTCATGCTGTTCCTCTCCCTCAAAATCATAAACCCTACGAAGTCTGTTGGACTTCATTTTCCTGGAGTTGCTCATACAAGGCTTTCAGCACCAGGTTTGACTGCGTCAGTCAGCCTTAGACCGGGGAAAAAACAACGCGTCGTTCCCTGCAGCTTCGGCGCAGCGGGAAGGCACTCCTTCTTGGCCGAAGGAGCGCTCCGTTCAGGGCTCCGTTCAGCGCTCCTGGTGGGCGGTTCCGCAGCTCCTGGCAGTGCCACGATTTGGGACAGCTTGGCATCTTCACATCTTCATCTCTCCATCTCTCCAGTTCAGATTCATCCTTCATGTCCCCCCAAAAGGGCCAAAAAGGAGATCCATGGAGATCCCACGTTCGGTCGCACCCCTTGACGCTCGACTCGCGGCTGCCCAAACCGACCGCGGATCGAGAGCATCGATCTCGGATCGAACAGAGCGAGCCTCGAAATGGAAGAGAGATATAGGTGGACGAGATCTTTGTGCCGAGCCCGCAAAAAGGGAGGGGGGTTTAAATGGGTACATGATGTCAGTCCTCCAGAGCTTGTGCCGCTGCCTTCGCCGAAGGTTCGTGTGGGTCACAAGTTTCTGCCGTAGAGTGCCATGTTATTTGATGTTATTTTGGCCCCCTGCCAAACGTGCAACCGTCTTACAGGTTCTAATCGTTTTGAGGTTTGGTGAACGGCATGAAAAACAGCAGGTCTGCTGGGATTGCACCGGGATTCCTGCTTGGTCTCACCATCGCCGGCGTTACGGCGGCTTTTCCAAGCGAAGGACCCGCCACGACGGTCCAAGCATAGCAGATCTGACGTGGAACAAACCGGTCGTGACACACAAGTTAGACACCCCTCGGCTCTATCATACACACATGTTTCCATCATTTCAATTTCCACACCCCTCGGCTCTAATGGCTCTGTTCCACCAGCTGAAATTTCCTTTCCATGGAAAGAGCATGGAGTGTCTGTAGCGTCAAGTGAGTTGGGGGTCTGCAGACCCGAACGTGTGATGAAAGGTTTTGACACCGGAAGGAGTGATCATTTTGACTATAATTCTTAGGGTTCAAGCACACTTTTCCGCAAGCTGGTGAAGGCGTTTCCTAA